TTTTTGCTTTTTTTTCTGTCATTAGGATCAATAAAATTCCTTAAAGGCCTTTTGATTTCCTTTCTTACAAGGAAACCTCCTGAGGTGGTCACCGTCTATTTAGCTGATGCTTCTATATAATAATATACGTTAAAAATGATAAACCACGTATTTTCTTTTCGGTAGAAAACCGTATTAAAGGGGTAAAAATTATCTCTAAAGTTGACACCCTACAAAAGTGATTTTTTATTTTCACATATTTCTAATCGAAATTTTCCAAAACAACCTAATACGTTAAATACAACATGGGAGATGATAAAAAATCCTTTTTTTTAAATACTTATACGACTTGCGGATATACATTTTTTTTTTATTGAAAATAGCAAAAAATCTATAATTTGAAAACTATTGATTATTTTTTGATAAGACCCATTTCAATCGAAAGAGCATAAAAAATTACAAGATACGTGACTTTGCAATTTTTAAAATCACATTAACGACAGTAAACAGAATCGCAAATTAGAAATTTTCAGTTGTTATTCATTCAATTGTAAATTGTCACAATAATCACCGGATAGAATACGTCGTAATTGGAGAGTAAGTAGTTTAGAATTAGTCAAAATATTATTTTTGTTATCGTCATGTGGGCAAACATAGATATAATCCTTATCACAGTCACTGATAAACTATTTTTGAAAAAAATTATTTCTGTAATTGTAATATACGGAGCATTTAATGCTGGTATTCTGAACTAAAGTAAGGTATTTGGATCATTTGAAAGATTGTAACAATATTTTTTTACATCCATCTTCGATACTGTAATGAATTGATATTTTTGCATCATGTATTCATATTAATTTTGGTAAATAGTCATTATTTTATATTTGTATAAAATCGTGTGCTCGAAATAGAAGTAGTATTTCCTTTTATTCTAAAAACTGTGTAGAACTCAATAGTTGAAAATGAAATTTAACTTCTTAATGTTATTCAGTTACTTTTAACAACATTTCAAACTATGAAAATTATGGAGACACCTGTAAATGATGCTGAAATACAATTGAAGAATTACTTTGAACGAATATTATTGAATGCAATGGATGGGTATACTGATATCGAAATGATGGAGGATAATTCGTTGCATTTTGAAGAACCAGTTAAGGATTGGGAACCAGAAATTATAGAAGACGAAGAATATGCATCTGCAATCCATGAACCAAAAGTTTCTGATGGAGCATGTACCACTGATGAAGAGAGCTTGAGTCATAATCTTAAATTGTGACTAGTTGAGTATTGGTGAAGCTGTAGGAAGAAGAATTAAAGTTTGAAAGAAGTAATAGCTCGAATTTGCAAATATACGTTGGAAAATTTTGAAACTGTTCACGATGCTGGGATGAAAGTCCATGATTCTGGTTTCAAAAAAAGAGCTCATCGGATTGTTTCTCGTAAAATTAACAAATTTATATCATCAAAAATGATTAAAGATTAAAATCGGAAATTCAATCATATGGTTTAGACAACATATATAATTCTGATCAAAGTGGCGTTCTATTAGAAGTACATTTAGAGCGGACTTTAGCTCCAGAAGGGGGAAAAAAAGTACACAATTCAATCAGTTTCTACGACAACTCACAGTTATACTATACAACCAACGCTATCAGCTAATGGAGTACTTCCTACTCCCCTTTTTCTTGTGTTAGAAAAACCAACTGGAAAACTTAGTTCAATGGTAGAAGCATCACATTTTAGACACGATAATGTACACGTAAAAATATCGACATCTAGAAGACTTATTTTTAATGAAAAATTCAATTCAAATATTATATCATATAATATATTCTAGAAGTTTGTATACTAATTTTTTTTTAGAACGCTTTAAAATCTGGTTGAAGAATGTATTTTTTTCTACTGTTGGAAAGAATAGTTTACTTTTGATTGATTCGTCGACTGGACATTGTTCTGAAGCTGTCATGTCTACCAAACCACCAGATACAGTAATTGAGATAATGATTATTTTTAAAGGGGCTACAGGACGAATTCAACCATCAGATGTTTTTAGGTTTAGAATATGGAAAAACTTTGTAAGACATTTCTCAGACGGATTTCTATTACGAAGAGATGGTTTAAATTGACTCAGAATCAACTCTCGTCTTTGCGATACATAACTCTTTTTCGTTATCCGTAGTTAAAAAGTAGTTGTACATTTATTAAGCTAGATGAATGTGAAAATCCAGTCAGTTTTGCATTTAGAGATAACTGTAAGTCTCATTGTAAAATATCAGGATGTAAAAATATTGCAATTATCTGTTATGCATAGCGTAAAAACTCATTGCGTCTTTAACATTTTTACAATGATTATCATATATGTAATACGTGCAATTAATGAATAATTTATCTTCTTCATTTTAATACAAGTCTGGATAAAAAGGAATATTTTATTCGGCATCGATTTTGATGTGATTTTAAAAATTGCAAAGACACGTATCTCGTAATTTTTTATGCTCTTTCGATTGAAATAGGTTTTATTGAAAAATCATCAATATTTTTCGAGTTATACATTTTTTGTTGTTTTTAATAAAAAAAATATATCTCCGCAAATTTTATAAGTATGTAAAAAAAGTATTTTTTATCATTTTTTATGTTGTATTTAACGTACTAAGTTGTTTTGGAAAATTTCGATTAGAAATATGTGAAAATAAAAATTCACTTCTATAGGGTGTCAACTTTGGGGGTGATTTTTACCCCTTCAAAATATTTTTCCGCAAAAAAAAAAAAATAGAACTGACTACCAAAACCACAAGATATTGATAGAAAGAACTTTTTTTATTCGTTATTCGAAATTTAAATGCACTCGGAATGTAATCAACCAGAAAAAATCGAATCAATAAAAAGAAAACATTCTCTCGTTACAATAGGTGTTTTTAACAATGTCGTATGAAATAGTGAACTAAAAACTTTACAACTTTGCTTACTAGCAAAAATGAAAAACGACCTGAATGTTGCAATTTTTAAATTATACCATTTTTTAGACAAAATTTCAAAATCTTTTGAAAAATATAAATATTAAATGATCAGAATACTTGTATGAAAATATGATGACAACATTCCAAAGAAAAAAAAAAAAATTTTAAGAAACAAAATCAGCAATGAAATAATTTTTCACTCGTGTCAGGATTGAGATAATAGTCAATAATAATTGTTAATAATATGGAATTGTGTCGATAACAATTGAACATTGTTACTAACGAATGATTATTGATCATGGTAATCCATAAATAAAGAGTTTTAAATTGTTATAAACAATAAAAATAGGGATCCATTCTATATAAATGAGTACTTTTAATGCATAATTTTTTCTTTTACGGAAAAAAAGTTACCAACTGTATGATATAAATGAAAACTCACTCTTTTTGTTTATAACAATGAAATTTGTTGTAAATAATGAAAAAAAGGATCTATGAGGTATGTTTGAATTCTTCTAACGTAGAATTTTTCCTTTTACTAAAATGAAGTAAAAAACCATATCAAATGAATGAAAAGACACTCATTTCATTTATAACAATTCCATACGTTATAAAGAATAGAAAGAGGTTCTATACAAGGTGTTTTTTCATTTTTTCCACTGGGAAGTTGGTCGTGTGGACCACTGCAGAGCGCTGATATTTTATAATTGAAACGATTCATATATAGTTAAATGATTATAAAGAATATGTAGTGACTTTGGTTAGCTGAGCCTATGATTCGTCTGTGTACTGTTAACCACAGTTGACTCATGATAAGAGAATTACTGGAAAGTTATAAGTTTTGTATGACTCGTATCTAGACCAGGAGTAGTCTGGATTTTGAGGAGCAGTCTAGTTTCCACTGTGTCCTGTCAGTCACATAGAAATAAGCGAATTGTTCATATACAGATTGTTCACATATGGATCGTGTGTGTGTGACAGTTCATCAAGCCGTAAGGCGTCGGAGTCAACATCGTTCGCACCTGTTGTAACAAAAATGCTGAACCGGACTAACCTAAGCTTAATGTTGACATTTTATAAGAGTTTAACTGACTGATAAGTTCACAATCATCAATTTAGATGATTAACTGATTAGTTATTCCATTTCAAATGAATATTCTAGAGAACTCTCTAGGTTTCCATTATAGATTTCGACTGCATGAGCTCTTTGTGGGTATACACGTACGGAGTTGACTATTACAAGTTGTCTGGCGGTTAGTATCATATGATGATGCCCAAGATTCGTTCAAATACACACCGAGTACGGACACAGAATAATACTGACAGTAACCGAAGAATACTTGCTAGTATAGAACTAGACAGAATTGTTTTACCTGAAAAATCTGCATTTTAGAAGTTTTTTGGTCTTTAAGAAGGAATATCTACTCCTAGGAATTAATTAGATAACTAGATAATAGCAGTCAAATTGGCGTGTATGAGCTGGTAGGAGGGACATTGTTTGGGTGTTCGGCGGAAATAAGAATGTCAGGTAGTAGATTGAATACCTCGGACCGAGTCAGAACAGAATCCTTAAAAAAGAATGTTCATTGGATTATTGAAATATTTATAGAGAATTCATCTCATGTAATTTTTGTATTATACACTCGGGAGCATCAATGCCTGGTTTGTATCTTGTGAGCAAGTATCGACGGTGAAAATGATTTGTATTTACATTGAGTATCCAATCTTACATCTTTGAAGCTTTGGCAAAATCTAAAAAATATAAAAAATGAAAAACATCATTTTACATCATAACACATCATATTTGAAATATAATCGCGAATTTTATGATTTTTACAGTTCACCTTAAAATTGGAGATTGGGAACTCAATATAAATTAAAAACATTTCCGCCGTTGATAATTGCTCATAAGATACAAACCGGCATTAATGCTCCTGAGTGTACATCATGTTTTGACGTATATTTAACGTTTGTGTTTGATTAACCATATTTGGGTCATATCCGCGTTAATACGCATGCTTTAGAATTATAACGCATGCACACAGAAAACGCATGAGAAAGAAAAAACAAAAATTTGTACCACTTATGTTTTTCTATCCGTCATTAGCCTGACACGGGGAAAAAGATATCAATGGCTGAATATGTTATTGTTGCTGGAATATCTAGTGGACATGAATCTTAATTTGAACTTACAGATTGACATTGTTAAAAATATTAAATGGTGACTTTTTTGCATTTATTTTACACTTGATACGTAATTGCGAATGTACTGTGTAGAATGATTCAGCAAAGTTGATGTGATTAATGTAATCAGTATTATGAAAAGCAAGCTCTTCCATACAATGACTCGCTGCATGATCAGCAACAACAAAAATTTGAAGTAATTCTTTTTGCATCGGAATTTCGTTCATATTCTTATGAGTAAAGTTCACAAAATCCTGATACGTTTCGTATCGGGTAACGTCGTCAAAACTCACTTGCGGCATATAACATACTTTCCAACATTCTCTGAGTAATTTTTGAGATACCATTACGCATAATTGATTTTCACTAGCATTATCTTTATTATCATGAAGAGTCATCATTTTAGTTTGGTTCGTCATCACAACTATCGGTTCACTGAGGAGAATATTATTTTCCGTGACTAAAACTGGACATTTATCAATCCCTGGAAAATTATTATACTTCAGAATGGTTGATACCATGTTGATAGCTATAGAAGAGGCATTGTCAAAAAGACTTGTAAACTGTGAGGTTTCGATAAAATTCCATGCATAGTTAATTATATGACTAATATATTGAGTTAATTTTTCAATGTCGTTGGAACTGTATGTTATTGTATATGGAAGTGTTCCCAGGTATATATGAAGATTTTCCCGCGATTTTAAATTGACATTTTCAAGTTCTTGAGAAACAATTTGATTATCATCAGTATCATTCGAATTACCAGTATTACTGAAATTGTTGTGAGATTTCAGCATATTCAAAAAAGTTAATGCATCTAATTATAACTAAAATAAATGAGTGTTTATAAAAATCTATCTTATGTAAGGATCAATAAATGTCTTGAGTCTAAAGTTAATGTAAATGATAAAGACATGCCAGCGAATTAGCACCGATATTTTTAGAAACGATCTATATTTTCCTGTCTGAACTTTCAAAGGAAACATGTTTTAATGTAAATTTACTCATTAAAGAAAGAATTCTAGAGGGCAGATTAGAAAATTCGAATACTTATGCCCAATACTAGCTTGATCTCGAGACTTCGACTAGATACATATTATCTGGCTGGTATGAATACAAACAAATAAAAGAATTGTTAGACAAAAAAAAAAAAATTATGTAATTTGTTTAGCTAATTGAATGATTATTTTATTAACTGTGGACGATCAATGGGACATAATTACGTGACAAAATTGTATATTAAGTAAAATTAACGAAAATTACATTTTCATTGATTGAGAAAAAAAAGGTAATGAATTCGTATGTATTAATAGTGAACGAAATTTGAATTTCCACATACGATTTAATTCCTGCTCGTTTACGACAGATTTAATTGTTATGAACAAAAAGAGATTGTTTGCATTCATAGTGCATTGTAAGTAACTTTTTTTTCAATCAAAAAAATTTTAATCGAACAATTTCGAACTTAAAGCATAGACCCCGTTCTTAATATTCTACAAAAACAAATTTGTTACAAGCAATACCGAAACAATAAGTCACCTTGAACTCTCCAGAAATTACGTTGATATGTCTACGGAAACTCATTACAGTCCAAATAGCTATTTCAGAGATTAGCACGCACAGACAGATACCTGAAATCTACATACCATTGTTAGTTTATTCTCATCACTTCATTCGCGCAATGTTCATAATCGTTATATAACAGTATATTAATCGGAAGAAATATCGAATATTGATTTCGTGGTTTAGATGAGCTCGGTTCCGAAACGTATTATTAGTATTATTACTTGTGCTATGTCCGACTTTATGGTTACAATTCTTCTTTTCTTTTTTTTGGTAAACCAAAAAATAAACGCATACTTAATTTACCGATACGCTGACAAAATAATTTTTGTCTTTGACGGAAATTGAGTTTCACGCTTCCTCATGAGAGGATTCATTTCCCATGCAGAAACCCGAAGCCCTTGCTTAATGGAAAAATTCGTTTTGTTTAAATTTTAGGTTCTCAAGCTGACTAAGCTGAGAAACAGGTCTTTATTTTCGCTACCTTACAAAATAGAGGCTATATTTAAATAAAAGGAATTTCATTGTAAGTACTTTTTAAATAAAACGCTGAAATCGGAAGCGCTTACGATGCTCTATCGTTCCGGTCGTCTTGGAAACCCCCGGCGACTTAGACCAAGTACCGAGTCTACCTGTAGACTAAACAATTTTTATCGGGGCTTTTTGTCACTGACCAGAGATTAGTCAAGACAACCCGCGTACTTAGCGTCGCGAGAATTTTATGACGTCAGTTAGCGCAACGACTTCTAACGTGCACTATCAAGTAAAAACCCAAGTTTAGTTTGTGTTTAAATACATTTATATACATTATCACGACACCAATTGTCATTAAAGTGTAACAATCCGAGTTAAACAAACCTCAAATAGACACCTAAAAGAAACAGAACCCGTGGTACAGTTCATTATTAGTGCCTCTCTGGACAACGTCCCGACAACCTGCAGGTTCCATCCATCCATCACCAGTCGTAGCTGTGTAGGATATCTATCTCCAAAAAAGGTAAGGTGCACAATTTTCCCGCTATTCGAGGAAAAGTCACTCAGCAAGAAGGGGTCAGAGGGATAGAGTCCTTCTGAACGATCCCTAAATTAAAAATAAAAATAAAAAGATAGAGGAATTCTGTCCTCTATCTGGTATTAACTTACGTCCGCGCCTCCTGGGCCAAGCTCATACCGAGCGCTTCCAACGCATCTCATAAATTTAAATTTCTGCAGTAGGTAAAATTTCAATCTTCATTTTTCGCGCCTTTTTATTTATTTGAACTTTCATAAAAAGTCGGACGTAACAGTTAATTTTTGGTGGCAGCGGTGGGATTAGAAGATCCACTTTTCCTTCTCCCCCTCTTGCAGTGACTTTTTCTATAAGAATCGCACTTTTAGAATTTTGTTTGACAAATAGTTACTAAATACAATTCCCTCCAAATCGAAAGTTTCCGTCTAAAATTGTTTTTTTGTTCTTTTAAATCTTCTTCAAATATTTGATCTACCCCATTATAAATTATTTGACCATAGAAATCTGGGTTTCAGTAAGTTAAACTTGACATCCGTAACATCCAAAATTGATGACAGGTGTACTCCCGCTCACCTACGAATTTTCATAATTTTCAATTTGGCAATTTTCAATTATTTGATTAATTTTTAGCGACATAAAGAGTCTGTCGCGCCACGATCATTTGCCGTCGGATAGCTGCGTCGAGATTCTGTCAGCATAAAAGTTCAAAATTTTAATTAATTAAGGGTGACTACCACCCCACCAACGCTCTGGGGAAGCCCTGGATACACCCACGTACGATTTCGATTTGTAAAAATTTATTTCTCTCGTGGTTCTTCCTTGTAAATTTGTTTCGTTGAGTGACGCGCATCGGAGCGCGAACGTTTGCCGTCGGATCAAGCAACTCTCGCCGCCGCAGCACCGTTTACCCTCATTTAAGGGTAACTAACAAATTTTTAAGGGTGAGAACTGGTTCATGAAGGCGCGCAAGCCTTCCCTGCATGTCTCTGTACTACTTTTGAGATATTACCCCTCTCTAATTTCCTTAAATTTACGTTTTTGTGACAGAATAAGTTGTACCGCCTATCGCAGCGTTGCGAATCGATCTATCGATCTGAAGGTGATCCAAATTTGCAATAACCTAATAGCAACTTGCTGAAATTTAACCGCATTACCTTCTCTCACCCCCTTTTGATCAACATTCACCCAAAATTTTGTTTAATTCGTGAATTATTTAGTACTAAGCATCAATAAAGCGAGCATTGAGGCCCCGCCTTTCAGCTGCTCGCAATAGCGTTAAGGCCCACCTCTTAACTCCTCCCTCGCGGTCATCATTTTCCCTTTGAATTCGCTAAAATTCGCTTTCTGCGAATAAATAGCAGGTAGAATTATTACTAATTATTTTGTTATACGCGCCTTAATTATTCAGTTCTGGATTTTGGTTGTTTTTGTTCCTTTAGGTCTCTTTTCCTTAACTCTTGGAGAAAGGGGGGCGCGGCCCAACTCCACGTGTTCAACTCAGACCACGTGTTGAGTTGTAACTTTCCTCCTTTTCCTTCTTTTCCGTATTTAACAATATTAAAATTAATTAATAATCAATAAACCCGACTGGTTGATTATATTCACCAACATCTGGTGATTTTAATTAATTAGCTTGTTTAAAATCATACATTAGTTTACTTATTTAACTGAATTACATCTACAATAAATTGATCTGTACACATAAATCCATAGATAATTACTTACATATAATTTATTAATAAATTACGGCGGAATATTGATGAAATTAAATATTGCTACCGCATCTTTCATGTAATTTATGCAAAATATTAATAATTAGTTATAGACGCATTGTCTCAGGTCATTAAAATTATTTACCTATTATCAAATTTAATAACATCTTTCAACAATAAAACTTATTTCTCCAATAAGTACCAGTTACTGTCATCTAATAACTATTAAATAACTAAGCATAATTAACTAAACTAGCAATAATTGGGAAAAAAGCTAAGGGGGAATATTTTAGAAGAAATTCTTCCTTTTCCTCCCCTCTCCCCCCTCTTCCTGCGTATTAAAGATATTGAGGTCTTTTCTTATAAAGTCGTTAATTAATAATTATAAAACGCGTATAAATAATAAATAAATAATTTGGATGCTAATTTTTCTTTCCTTTTTTGTTTTCTATTATTGCATTAACGAAGTATAATAAACAATTCCCTGATATAATAACCCGTAATTCATGAGGCCTTAGTTATTCTCACCATCTCGGTCTACTTTATCGACTCACCGATACCAGTTCGATCGTTCCTCGTATTTAATTTATTACGCTGGAATATCGAATATAATAATAAATAGTAATCATCAATGTAATATTAATAATATGAAATATCACTACGGTTTCTTTTTTGCTGAATTGAACAAGTTTAATGAATTTTATCATTTAATTATAACCCTATATATTTTATTATATACTTATAAACCTATATCAGTATATTATTAATATATATTAATATATATCACTAAACTATTAATGACAAAGTGTAGTCGTCTAATTACAGCCTTTCCTCTCATTTCATAGCTTGTAAATAACCAACAATAATTCAATAATTTTTAAAAAAAAAGGAAAAAAACCCCACCATAGAAAATTTAGTTATTAATTTTCATATTATAGAAATTAAAGTTATTAATTTTCTTTTATGAATCTAATATACATTGGAAAACTATCAACATTTCTGGATGTAGTGAATATTATTCCCGCATAAATAATTTAGGTCAAGAAAAAGCAAAAAAAAAAAAATATATTTTTGTTAGTCAAATAACTAAATAAACAGTACATAATAAAATACTTATTTGTTTGAATTACCACCAAGTTTTAGATTAATTAAGTCGAGTAATTAATTCAAAGGAGTGCTTTGTTAATTAACCACGACCCTGTTCACCTAAACCTTTGGATATTTACACTAATAGAATTTCGGGTTAATGACTAATTAAACCACTTACTAAATGATAAGATAATATTAAATATACTAATATTTCATTGACATTTGGCCCAACAATAGAATCAGATTAAGTTATAATTGGACTATAGTAACTATCGCCCTAACATTACGTAAGCTATACGTCTCTGTTTGATAATTAAATATACTTTACGTAATAAATAGTTAATCACAAGTAGTTGTTTGGTCTAAATTAACATTGAAGTCTTCAAGCAGTGAAAATTAAATAATTAGTTTAATCACTTGACGTTATCAAATTTATACCAAGCA